ACTGGGGATCAAATGAGTAAGTCATTTTTCAACGACATTTTTCGACAAAAAGTAGTATTGCAGCATGTTCATAGTAAAGACGTGTCAATGCAAAACTTAGCCAATTTGCTGTGAGCTCTGATAAATGAGAAAAATTCACTTAAATTACCTACGTAAAAGTCGTGCCAATAAGCAAGAGCAAAGCTAGGTAGAGGGTTGCCCGGAACAAATTAGTATTTTCAAAATCGAATAAAAAAGGATAAAAATCCACTGGAAAACCCCCGGCTCTTCCCTCTGATTGCGAGTACCTACTATCAATTTTTGCAAAAAGATCAAATTTAAAATTTCATACATAAAAATAGGAGATCCGCTTAGAAGGATTTATGGATTTTTACTGGGCCAATGCGGGTGGATACTCCTACTTTCTACGAGAGCGAACGACAAATAATACAGACAATAGACATGGACTACAAACTTCGGACGCGAAGAAATAGTTTTCTAGGCATATTTCTGAATAAAGGAGAAGATATCATAGGGCAATGAATAATGAAACGAATGTAAATCAGAAGAAAATAGGTAATTCGGGGGTCAGGTCCTTAACCTTGAGGCTGATGAGCTAGCATTTGAAAGCTCAAAGTAGGTACGATTCAACTAGGTAAAAAAAATTAAACCGACAACATTGAATACGGGGCTAATCCCACACAATTTTGCACTTACATGCGAGAACGCTGTTTGAAGACTTCAGGATTGAAACCGGAAGTGAGATTTAAAAGCCAAGCCTCCTGATTATGGGCCAGCGAACTTTCACTTAACCAGGGGCTCAGCCTTACCAAAAAAGTTGTACAATTTCAACGGCATTTTCTTTAAAAAAAAAATAATATGTGTGCATGAGAAGGGGGGCGGCTTTCAGATGTTTTGTGATGTTTACTTTAGAGCCAAAAGGCACCGTAATAACTCCACGCAAACATGAAAGTATCTGCTGACGGTCAGGTTATGGAAATTGTTATTGAAGATTTTTCGTCTTCCCCAGATATTCAATATCCTACAATTAAGTCATTTAAAATTAAAAAAAAAAAAAAAAAAAAAAAAATTAAAAAGAAATAATTCGGTCATTTAAACTTGAAATAGCTGTTTTGAGTTTCAATGATAAAGAATTTTAATGTTGCTGAAGATTTAAAACTTTGAACAACATTCTCATTTGCTTACAGGCATAGATGATGCTGTAACTCCCAAACCACGTATCTCTTTTGCCGTGTTTTAAAACTTCTGCTCCCATCAATATCATTTCATGTAGCTTTCACACGATTTTCTTCTCGCAGAGAAAAAAACGGAAGTTTCCAAGAACTGACAAAAAATGAAGTTAGGTCCCAATGTGCATAGTTTGGACAGCAAAACTGACATTTACCATTTTCGGGAGCCTAATTTGCAGGTTTCCAAAGAAATGCGAATTTTTGGTAGGTCAAACCTGACCCACTGAATATGTAAATTGAAACGGCGAGGTCGAGTTGTGTATCTCGAAGAATTAATGATTTAGTAATTAATTTTTTCGACAAAAATTTGAATATGTATTTTAGTTACAATATAAATGGATCTCAATCATATGTTTAAGAGTGTTAAAATTGAGATGGATCAGGTTGAGCTCTTCATCCTTCGAAGACGCTTGCCAGAACACTGATCTCCGACTGAGAGGTTGGCTCGAATTTTTAAAGTGTCATTGTCGCTTCAAAAAATACGCGTATCTACTAACTCTGCTCTTTTAAATACTTGAATTCAAGTGCGAAACTTAAATTGAAGTGTCAGCACAAATCTTAAGATCTCTGGAAATAACAATAAACTCTCAGCGACGGGGTTCTTCAATGCTCAGCCGTTGTTACGAGAATCTGCACGAGATCAAACGACTCCAACTTGAAAAAAAACATTTGATCATGGAGCTCCTTGAGGCACTGGATCAATGACTTACGAATAGAGGGAAAATACAAGAGCTCAGCCGGTAAAAATAATTGGATTTTCAGTAGCTGATGTTTCACTACTCTGGGGGCGGGGGGCTACTTTTTAATAGGTATTAAGATCAAGCAGTGAGCATATTGAACACTCAAGTCTAGAGTTTTTTAAACTAGGAAAAACAGGAATTCGACTTCGATTGCCTGCCAAGAATTTAAGTACGTTCTACCTAGATGCCTACTCATAATTTTTTGCCTCCGACTTGAAACTCAAAAAGTAGGTATCTTAAACATGGGTAGCATCTACTGTACTTGTCTACATTAATTAAAAATTCGATACTACTTCTCATAAGTACTATATGTGACGATAGGAATCTTAAAAAGTGAGGATGGATTTCCTTTAAAGGTGCCTAAAAGTTAAAAACTTGCTCTCCTACCCAACTGGCAGATTTTACAAGTATTTAGCAGCTCTGCACAATCTATCGAAATGTTTAAAATAAAATATGCTGCTGCTTAGGAATTCATTGAAGAAACATGGAATATGACTTGAGAATGACCACTAACATCATGCAAGCAATCCACAATAAAACCATTATGAACTAAGTAGTATTACCTAAATTTAATACCAATGCAACTGCCCGAGCTGAACTTCATCCCCCTCGCCCCACGGTCTTGCACTGAAACTCATGTTCATTTTGTGACTCCATTAATAATTTTTGGAGTTTTTGGCTTCTATTTCCCAGTAGAATAGTGTCAGCACTATTCCACCATAGTTCACTGCCAAGGAGGTACATAGCTCAGGGTTACCATTACTACTGATTGTCTGCACTAAACTTCAATCTTACAGGTCAACATGTGAACCAGATTCTTCAACATTTGGTAGAATCCACTTCAGGTCTACAAAGGGCAGTTACAGATTAGTTTTTCATTTTATCAAGCCACCCAAAGAATCATTTTGAGTCAGAACAACAACTTCCTTTCTATAAATTTCTAGTTCAGGCTGATTCAATGCTAGAATTTGCTCGTTATCAGACTAACTTATGCATTACATGTGGATACAAGTATGGATTGCTTGTGTGATGGTGGTGCATTATGTTTGAACTAACTTTAGCGAAATTTGTGTCATGCTTTCGAAAACGAAACGAGGCATCACTACACTAAAAAGATGCAAGAAAAAATAATGGTTGACTGTGAGTAGTATTAACTCAAGATGAATGCAGGGCAATAGGAGTTGTTGATAAGCAAATGCAAAGAGATTTCATCAACAACATGCTAAAAAATTGCCTAGGTACATTGGGAAAAAAATCAAACAACTCAATTAACATTCCGTAACTGAAAGGATCTAAGCTTACTGGGTGCTAAGTGACATACAGAAAGTAGGCCACACTTGGTAATATTGGATCGAAAAACAATAATAACATATTAAAAGTGCGTGACACATTCAGCTGAGTCAGCAGCGCCAGAGGAATGTGTCAGTAATCATTAGGAACACGACGTCCTAATGAAAGCCAAGTTAGAAAAAAAGAGGATAAATCTTCTGGTCATTTATGCATCGTATTGTAGTGGTCCCCATCTTGCCTAGTGACAACAGTCATCTACAAGTGCTGAGGTCGATAATTTTGAAAGCGCTTTCTCTTTGCACATCCAACTAAAAAATTAATTGAGCCTTCAGCGTGCCCATTATTGTCGAAGCAAAACCTTATCTGTGAGTATTATAGACTATCATGACATGCGGTGATGCTTGGTCCTTCTAAATCTACACTGAGGGCTACAATCTATGTGCACCAAGTGAATTAATGAGGTTGGAAGGTAGGCAAAATCAAGGTAACCATGCTGTCTGGTTTCGATGATCAACACAGCATCTGTGACACTATTAACTAAATCTGCAGTTCACGTACATGACCCAACAAGTGCACATTCTTGACTCTCGCGTCAATTAATCAATGTATTTTGATCTCAATGAGAATGTATGATGAGGTAGCAGAAAATGCAGACTGAATCCATGCTCGGGACCTCAGTCAAAACTCAAAATCTTTCAGATACCTACATGACTTCGGTCGAGTCAATGTTAAAAACTCTAGGTTCTTTGCGCCTTGTTCCTGATTTTTTTTCTTTTCGGCAAACACTGATTATGCAATGAGAGAATGTGGGCGATAGAATATTAACAAGATTACAGCCTGCTCTGACACAGATGGTCAACGTGACAAATTGAAATTAAATATTGATTCAGCTTAATGGATGGACTAGACCACCAATAGTCACATATCGACGGTGAAACTACCAAACCATGTATCTCGGTTTGCGACGTCGCAGACTTCCCGTCTGCTTTATTTTTTAAATGAAAAACTACTTAACATCCAGTCTTGAAAATTTCTGTGATTTTTTCTCTCTGAGCGGAGAAAATTCCGTGAAAATTTCAAGGAATGATATTGATCTGATCTACTTCAAAAAAATAAAACGTGAGCGTAGATTTTTAAACACCGCAAACGAGATACGTGGTTTGGTAGTTTCACCGTCGATATGTAGCAGGCACTTCAGCTGCGTTGTTGAAGTAAACTGTTCGGGACCATTTGCAAACGGAATTACCAGATTCCATCAGTAGGCGTTAATGGACTCCGTTTGAATTACCCAATGACTAGTCTGTTTACATATGAAAAACCAAAGGTTCTACCTATCGCTCGACAACCTCAGGAGGTTGTTGATGCCCACTGGATTGCATTAGCAAACAGCAGAACCAAACAGAATCACATAAGTTTACTTCAACGATGCAGCTAATATTTCCAGTTGACGTAAACAAAAACAATTCCATTCAGTTGGACGCAACTAGCCCTTGTGCTGAATAGTGAGTATTGGAATTATTTAATCCTCTAGGGGGAATCATAGGCAAATTTTAACTCATTAGAGCCTTGTAGAAAGGTGTTAAGGTAGAGTGAATGCTTGCGTTGGAAAACAATGTGCCAGCGATGCTGCTGCGTCGAACAACTTAACGCCACAAAAATGAGGCTTATCCTGTGACTGAGATTTAGGCTATTGATACAGCATGTGGAAGACTTTAAATAGAAAATTTAAGCTTCAACTCACATTGGATTTGTTGTATTCCAGTGGACGGTGAAGGATTTTGTACAATCACTGACAGTAGATAATAGCACGGTTTCAAAACATATTAACAACACCAAGGTAAGGAACGATGTTATTTTGGCACAAGGGACATCCAGGACTGGCCTGGCTACCCGGGCTACAGGTATGATTAATTTCACTAGCCCCGAAAGCGACGGGTAAGTAATCACATTTCGCGGAATCATGGCTAAAGGGATGTCCCCGAAAGCCAACCACTGAACAGCGCCGAGGCTTACAAAAAGCACACGCGATTATTGTTGACTACATTTAAGTAGACAAAATTAAAACTGAAACAGAGTATAATCGCATTTTCACTTAAAACACACCGCGACACATCGTGATAAAGCTGAAAAGCTGGAAAACAACCGAAAGCTCCGACGTCGAGCAACACAAAGTTGACGTTGTGTATCACCTACTTTTACTCTTCCTTATTCGAGGAGAGATATTACATTTTCGTGAAAGAACTAAACGTGCGCGAGGCACTAGGTGAAAACATTTACAGTAAAAGTCGGATCTCCATGCGATGAGCGATCGAAAAACAATAACAATAACCGAAACGATTCATAAACACTTTCTATAATCCTGCATCATAACCGCGCGACGGAGCTCCGTAGCTCACCCGCCAATGGCATTCAATAAACTGATCGGTGATTGGTTTTGCAGGCGGGTGGGTGAGAATTCTCCGTTTCGGTAAATTCTTCGGCCATCTCCGGAAAGACGAGAGGGGAGCCGACTCAGAAGCGAGTCTGCGCTTTCGTGGCTCGGCTTGCGCGAGCCTTTCTCACATGCATAATCGGAGAAAGACACGGAACTCGACTCCTGAAAGTTATACTGCCTGCATAGCACAACTTGAGAGGAGGCCCATGAAATATTACTCTCGGACGTCGCACAGCAGCCGGCCGAGAGAGGCCTCTACCTGCCGTAGTTTTATAGACCGCCACAGCAGCGCTGCTCTCCTCGGTATGGCTCGCATAGTCTGACATGAGTATGCATCTCCGAGTGCGACGTTGCAAATTTCCATTCATGTTTTCTCTTTTACAAAGAAGCCAACCGACAGTTTTCTTCGGAATTTGTATGAATTTTCTTGCTTCATTCAATCGCATTTCACAGAAAACTTTCAGTCAACTTTTTTGTAAAAAAATAAATAGAAAAAAATTGGTGATAATGAAAAATTGTCATTGCACTAAGCATTTTTCGAATTTCGTCATCTGTATCGTAGACCATTTCATCCAAAAATCAATCTCAAATGATAGGATATATAAACAATCGAATGTTATTTCCAGGTAAATGATTTAATAGAGTGTACATGACAGCACGACATGTGTTGGGTATATACATTAAAAGAAACGCTCTTTCTTTCAAGACTATTTATGAAGATATCACCATAAATCTGGCATCTGGCTAATGCCTTAGGAAATAGTAAAGCGGGAGTGAACACGAAATCTTTTTCATGATTTTTTGGATGGGATCCTGAAGTCTCCTCTGTAACTTCCAACTTCTGTAAATTATACCTATCAATTAAATTTCAGAACCTAAAATTTTCCGAGATTTCTCGCACTAACTAAAAAGATTTTCGCACAGGAATGTTAAGTACGAATATATTTTATTTATTTATTTATTTTTTAAAAGAAAATAGTGAAAATTAGCCTGATGCCAGACCTCAGATGTATTCACATGTGCAGAAATGTAACATCTGGATGGGGCCCACCTTTTAAGAGGGAAATCAGAACATAATATATTTTTCACTGATATACTTGTATTTACAAGACTTTAATGTGCTATAGTTTCGCAATTACACCTGCGAGATAATAAACGTGTATTTAAGCTTGTGATGTTCCATATTTCCTGTCGCTTTTCATTTTTCAAAAGAAGTAGGGTCATCGTTTTCGTTTCAAACTCCATGCGATTTTTCAGGACTGTCCTTTGAAAATTTTGCACTTATGTCGAAATTACTTTTCCCAAAGGTGAGAAAACAAAAAAAAATCCGGAAAAAGGACGACTCATTAGATTAGGTTCAGAAAACCTCACACGTCATAACCAGATACCTAATTTTTTGCGATTTCGAGGACCGGCAACGTTGTAAGACAAGAAAGTAATGTGTTTCACGGAAAATTGGCTACGTCGCGATAAAAATCAGAGATGATTTGTTTCAGTGGCACAATAGGCAACGCTGAAATTAAAGTTAAGGAGCAGTGAGAGTAACGATCGGAGCTTCAGTCAGCGTCGCATGCGATGGATACTAAGCGAATTTCATTACGGCGCCTGGATGCAACTATTCGGGCTCTATGAATGTCCGCGTTGCATACGCAGAAAGTTGAAGGCGTTTTGACTTCACATACTACCCGCTTCACCGGCGGCGCTCAATGGAGCGAGGCAATAAGACGAGTCGACAAAAATGTGGAAACAGTAAAAGCTCGAATCGATGTTAGTGCGGAACGGAGAGGTCCTAGTAGTGGTTTCATTGATTTTTTTTCGTAAAATTTCCTAAAGAGACACCTCATACGATATATATTGTGAAGGAAGTAATATCAAAATTTGCAACTTTAGTGGAAAATTTCATGTCCAACTGCTCTGAAATTCTCGATTCTTTGTGCGGTGGGCTTTACTGCAAGGATCTAAAATTACAGAGTGCCTTTAATTCTTCATTTAGACTTCGGAGACATGTCTTAAGCATGAATAATAATTGCTCTACAAATCATACCCAGTACATCGCGCTATCAAAACAGAAGCTCAAAAGATACTCACATCCTCCGCCTGTATGCGACTATTCGTGCCTGGGAGATATCTTTGAAAAATAAAGAATTGAAAGCGCTTTAACATTTCGGATCCTCGCATCATCAATCATTGGCAAATTTTAGGACCTAAGGTGATTCGTTCCAAACTGTAACGTGGTCAACTAGCGTGCGACGTATCGCATCGATTAAGAAAAAAACCTCGTCAGATTTTGAATTTTTAGCCAGAAACAGAACGATAGCCCCTGCTTACGAGCCATTCTCATTAAAAAACAATGCAAACCATAAAAAAACAAGAGCTGGGTTTTTCTTAGGGGGGGGGGGGGAGGGGCTGCATTCGATACAGAAGTCTATGACTGTATTGAACGCGACAATGTTTCTCCAAAAGAATCCTACTTTCATTTCTTGAAGTTTTGCCCGTTTTTTTTTATTGAGAATGATTCTTAAAGCTCATATCTACGCAGAAAAGGCTGCTTATGGGACTTTCGGTCCATTTTTTTTATCAATCAACTTTTTCGTCCAATTTATTTTGTCAACGGTTTTTTGCCAAAGAATTTTGAGAATACTTTCGAAATTTTGTCCAATTCTTTCGACTAAATATTTACATAGTTTTCACCACCCCCAGCTCGCGAAAAAACTGACAGTGAGCAGTTTACGGAAACTCCTGCTTTTCTTGTTTTCCTCATTAAAATTTGACAAAAATAACTGTGAGATTCTTAATAATAAAGCCTTTGCTTTAATTCTTTTTGTGCCCTGTAGAGCTTTTGTTTAAAGCCAAAGAAACACTTGAGCTTGTCTCAAACGCGATGGCTCTTATTCTTTTCTCCTCATCGTCTACTGTTGTTGTTTAAAGTACGGAAACCAGCTTTGTTTTAAACAGTCCTTTTCCGCCAAAAATGCTTTAAGTCTGAAATCAAATATTCGTAAATGTTTCATGCGGCCATGAAGTGACACCATGGACCATTGTGACACGTAGGCAGAAGGCGCCTTCAGTCAAAATCATCATGTTTTAAATGAAGCGAAGTTTCTTCCGGGTGGACCAGACAAGTAAACTAGCTGCGTTACAAAGCGTGGAGTATCACGTCAGTGTGAAGGGGATCCAAGCCGAAAAAGTGCAATTAATTAGATCCCGAGGTGCTGCATTCATGGTCATTCTTTGATGAGTATCTTTCCTCAGGGAGACGCTATATCGATGGTGAAACTATTAAACCACGGATCTAAATCGCGATGTTTTAAAAAAAATTCACTCATACGCGAAGAAAAAAACTTCGTGCGTGGGATCCGAAGTTGAGGTCATATGGGTCTCTGAAGTTTTCGGATCACGTATCTAAAAACTTGAAGTCCAGCTGCCGAAGTTAGGGTCAGACATCTGAAGTACTTCGATATATACCGAAGGGTTCGGGTCACACATCTGAAGTATTCCGGTAGGTACATACTGAAGTGCCTCGATGTCTGACCCGAACTTCGGCAGCTCGACCTCAAGTTTTCGGATGCGTGATCAGAAAACTTCAGAGCTCCATGCGACCTCAACTTCGGGTCCCGTGCACGAAGTTTTTTTCTCCGTGTATCCTCTCTGTTCTAAAAAATCATTTCTAAGACGCTCGATGGCCGGGGTGAGGAACGAGAGCAAGCCGGTTCAAAGGTCGAATTCCAAAGAAGGAATCAAAATTCAGCGTAAGGTGAAAGTCAATAAGGATACTGTTAGGCGGAAAATTTTTCTTTTTGTTATTCACTTAAAACTGTTCGTTCATTGACCGCCAACGGGCGATTTCGACGATTTCGCTGGCCGCGAAGCGTACGAAAATGGGCGATTTCGACGATTTCGCTGGCCGCGAAGCACACGCCAACGGGCGATTTCGACGATTTCGCTGGCCGCGAAGCGCACACAAACGGGCGATTTCGACGATTTCGCTAGCCGCAAAGTGCACTCCTCTTGGGGCGCGCAGCGCTCCGGGGGTTGGGTCGCGTAGCGGCAAGAGGGGGGAACCCCAAAATTTGTTATATTTTCTTATTTTTATGAGAATACCACTCGAAATAGCCCTTTACTTTTATCCCTTGTTGTTTCTAGGATGCCTCCAAATCATTCCCTTTTCAAAAAGGCCAGGCATTTGAAACCTGTCTCGGTCGAAGAATATTGATCCGCCTCAGAAAATTCACATGGAAAAAGTTCCGAAAGGAATCGATCAAAAGCTCTCCTACAAAGGTAAGAAAACTTAAGAATAAGCCTATGATCAGGGCGATGAAAGCTGACTGTAAGTCGTTTATATCGTATGCCCGCGGTTCACCATCCTCCTCCGTCGCAGATGAATTTTCCCACCTCACGAAATCGCCCGAAGTATTCTCCAAAACCCTGTTAGCATGTCCAGTCTCCAGCAAATGAGCGATAACTCGATTGAGTTTATCATATAAAAATGAATTTTTCGGTGTCGACAGGGCCAAAGGATACATCATGTGGCATTCTTTAACCAAATGGTAGTCCAACGCTTCAGCGTTAACGCGAAGCTTTATGAGAATATTTTTTCTAGGATTTGACATAAAGGGCAGGCCCACAAGGAAGGCATTCGAGGTAAATTGCGAAAGGATAACATTCGATATGTTTACCCACCAATTATTAAAGACAAATTCATCTGTTATAGAGAAATTCCTCCTCACCTCCGACATATTTGTAAGTGCTATCGACAAAGGAAATGTACTTTTATATAATTCCTTAATATAGAAAACGTAATTGTTAACTAATTTTGCTTTCAATGACTCTGAACAGTCATGATGCTCAAAAAAGGAACTGTCCACCTCTGGATTGTTAAATGATTCTATTAGAAGATCAGACTCGTTCAGTGTCCGCAAAGAGTCAATTTCAGGATATAAAACCCGGTTGCTAAGTAACGTT